AGCCGCTCAGACCTGCAGCCTATGCGCGGCACGCCGGGGCAGCCATACGTATAACTTTTAAATGGAAAATGTCTTTCTCAAAGGCTGTCGATGTCCAGTGGTCTGCAGTCCATGAGCAGTTGACTAGTCCAGGTGTTTCTGCTTCTGTTCCTGTGCTATGTGAATTGGGAATTCAAGAGAAGAGTGTGCAGGATGGAGGAGTTGAGGGTTTGTATTCCTGTTCTGGTGGTACGGCAGTGACGGAGGGCTTGGGAAGGAACAGAAAGTCTACCTGGGGTTGTCTCAATTGAGAAAAATAATTGCTCTCAGTTTTTGTGTCTGTACCTCTTTCTGTCAGTGCTTTCATCAGCTCTTAAAAATGAGAATGACCCTTTTTGTTGGTATGGATTGACTGTCGCAAATAGTGTTCAGGAAAAACTTGTTTTAGAACGCGATTTCTTCTTTGTGGGTTCTATCAGTGCATTTTGCCCCACTCATTTAAAGTGTAGCCATTTCAAACTCTCGGAGCTGGATTAGTTTTAAAAACTGCCGAATTTTTGTCTGTGCTTTACTAAGTTAAAAGTCGTAATCTGAGGCTATGAGACAGTCCTACTGATTTAAGACTGGGGGTTTCTGTAAGGTTTGTGAGGAGATCATTAACTCGGGTCTATCTTTTCACAGGACAGTCGGCCCAATATGTCAAGACCTCTGATCACTAGATCCCCTGCATCTCCATTGAACAATCAAGGCATCCCCACTCCAGCACAGCTCACAAAATCCAACGCACCAGTTCACATTGATGTGGGTGGGCACATGTATACCAGCAGCCTGGCCACGCTTACAAAATATCCTGATTCCAGGTAACTTTAAAAAGCTTCTTCTGCATGTCTTTGGCAAACTCCTTTTCTTCCTTTTCGTGCTTGGACGTCCTGGGGCTGTCTCAGAATGATGAATTTATCTCCTTTTGTTTCAAAATTAAATTAGCTTTCTTTGTTAGTAGGCAGTTAGAGACTGACTTTTGTTTCCCTGCTCCACTGTGTTCCTGACAAATGGCACTTCTGCAAATCCTGATGCGTGTGTACTGAAACAAAGCTGGGAGAAAAGAACACTTACTTTGTACTACCTAGGATTCTGGGTTTGTGCCAGGGCACCCATGCTGTGGTTTGTTGCATTCAAAAACTGTAGTGATACTGCATTTAATCCCAAATGTGGGGGTGTTGGAGTATTTGTTTTGTTTCTTTTGGAACGGTAACCACTCTCCTGTGCTGTCAACACTCCATCTCAGATGTGTCACTTGAGGCAAAGGCAAGGTTGAATGAAATAAACTCCAGGACAGTATTAACTGAATACTTTTAGGACTTTTCAAATAATAGGCTCTTAACTCTCATGTACCTTTTGAATGAAGTATTTGTGACTCTGGTAGCTCACTGATATTAAGCAGAGAACTGCTGCATGTGTGTACAAACGGTGCCTGTAGAGCAGCTAAAACAAGAGTGCATTTCTAAGAAATCTAGAGTGCATTTAGCAGTGTGTGTGGGCATTGCCTGGTGGTGCTGGCAGACAAGCAGTGCAGCTGGAACTCTCAGGGTTGGTCATGAGACAGCAGGAAGTCATTGTGTCCACAGTACAAATCTCTACCTTGCCCTTTGCTGCCCAGTCCTGCTCCAGAGGGCAGGCAGTGCTCCCATTGTGTTCTCTCCAGTCTGAGGGGGAAGATGCTCAGTTTCTTGATGCCACAGCTCTGACCTGCCTTTTCAAAGGGCACAAAGCCCACTTCATGGGATGTGGCTTTGTTCAAAGCCTGGGTTTCATTGATGCTGCTGCCTCTGCATCACCAGCTCAGTGTTAGGTGGGCTCAGGCAGTGCTCCTGACAGGCTGGAGGAAGAGAGAGAGCCCTACACACTGCGAGGCACATGGCCTTGCTTGAGACAGCCTCCTCAAGGAAACCCGGCAGAGGGGAGCAAAAGGAGCCATGCCAGAGCCTGGGTCTGCCAGGAGAGATTGAAGTAATGTCTGAGAAAACTTGAACTGTTCTTAGAAAACCAAATCTGTTCTTTTGGGGGTTTTTTTTAGAAACTTCTTGTGTTCAGCTCCTAGTAGTTGTGATGACTTTGTGAGTTTTTTGGTAGTTGGAGCAGTGATGGTGTCTGACACTGTTGTGTATGCAGAATGAGAGGCTGCTGCTTCTGTTTTCATGTCAAATTCACAGAGAGAGTATATTACTTCAAGTGAAGAAACACTAAAATGTCATTCAAAAATGTGTCTGGTGGCAGTGGAATTTAAGCTTAATGTATTCTGTGCTCAATTGAGCCATTGTAGCACTTGAAAGTGAAAGCTATGCCTGTAGTATCAAAGCCAGTTTAATAAATTAAACATTTTAAAAGCTCTTCAAACATAATTTAAAGAAAACCCAAACTCTGAGTTATAGTCATTCTGTTTCAAGTCGTTCTGACATGTGTTTGTGTTTCAGTTCTGACAGTGTCTTTTGAACCTCTTGATGAGTGAATATTTCCAGCTTAGCTGTTAGAACCTGGAATTCCCAGCCACTTCCAGAGCTTGAGAGATTTTTTTTAACATTAGCAGCTTCAAAAGAGCAATTGCTATACTCGTTTGAATGTCAAGACAATGGCATGAAGCAATATGCCAGTAATCATGATGTAGTTGTTTGGGTTTTGTCTGAGATTTTGCCAGAAGGTTTTTTTCCAGTGGAGGGTTGGGATGTATATATGTGTGTATATATATCTGTACATATTTATATAGAGTAAGTGCTAGGTAAAAATTGTCCAGTAATATTTAGACATTAATATAAATTGTTTCTTGAAGCCTGACCTGGTCAGTTTCATATCTAGCTAGACTCAAACTTCATTACTCACAAGGTTTTTGTCAACATTGCTTATATATTTTTTTTTCTGCCAATAGCACGTATGTGAATGCTATCAAAACCAAGGAAGGTCTCATAGATATTTTTGGGCCAGTTGAAACCTCCTGAGACTTACTGTTATATGAAGTATTGTCTATGAAAAATAAGGTCTTGATTATCTTGCCTGAAAGAGCACTGCTCCAGGGATGAGTCAAGGCATCAGTTACAGGCTCCAGCCTGTAACAGGTTGAGACACGAAAGTCATTAGGTTTCTGACTCGTATTACATGTAGTCTAAGGGCCAGAAGCCTAAAATGAACCTTTCATCTGTGGGCCAGGTACCAGAGTCATCTTTCTTTGTGAGATTGAAAGGGTGATATTCAAACCAGCAGCTCTGGAGTCACTCTGACTTGCTGGTGTGAGGGAGATCTATTCTGATGGAGCAGTCTCTGCTTTGGAGCAAGTGCACTCTTCCTTCTCCTTTTGGACTCAACAGCCCTCATCTTGTACCTCGCTGTTTTCTTCTTTCTGGACAGTAGAGCATGAATTGGAAAGAGTACTTTAAAAAAGAATTCCTTAAATGATATCAGGTAAAGACTTGTAGCTTGAAGGGATCATTTTCCATAATTCTTCTGTTAGGTTCCCCAACCTGGTTTTGCCTTGACATGTAAAATGCCTACTGACAGATACCTATTCATCCCTCCAAAGAAACCTTGGTGTGACTGTAAAAGTGTCTTGCTACTGTTGCTGGATCCCTGCCCTTTGCTTTGGAAAGACAATTGTGGGTTTCTCTCAAATGCTCTTGTGCTTGAAGAAGCCAAAGAATCAGACCTGATCTGTGTTTTGGGCAAAGGCTGACTCAGTGAAGCACTCTGACAGACAAGCAGCTTATCTAATGGACGGTTTGAATTGAGTAATCCTAGAATTATAAATTCTGAAGCTAAAATAATGCTTAAAAAAACCCTCAAAATTAATTTTAAAATCTAGGAGCATATAATTTCAAAGAGCCCAGTTATAATCTAGACAAGGGAGAACCTATAGTTTTCACAAGGAAAATCCCTTATGAATACTTAAGCTCATCAACAGGCTTCAGATTCTCCCAAGAAACCAGTGGGACCATGCCTCAAACATGGTTTCATGAAGCTCAGTAATGCAATTTGCCAGACTTAGGCTTTGGGAAGAAGCCTAAGTTTGAATCAGCCTGTCTACCAAGAAGACCTAATGTGAGGTCTCTCTGCTGAAATAAATAGCAATTTTTTTTAAAGTCTGAGGAGGGAGCAGGTATGCAGCCATCTATGTAGCTCTCTCCCCTGAGACTGTAGACCTTGGTGCATTCAGCCCTGCACAGATTGTACAACCTTTGGTTTACTTGAAGTTACCAGATCTTCAGGTTAGTATCTGGCAACAGTCAGCTATCTGTTAAAGACTTGGGTGTCCAAAAAAATTTTTAATCGCTTGCTTTTCGAAAATAAAGGTTTGTTAAATAGTTTTTTTTCCACTGCCCAGGGGAAAAAAAACTTATTCCAGGAAAGAAGGATCCAAGATGAGGGTCTGCCAAAGGAGCCTTTCATCCCCAAGAGCTCAGGCACATGCATGCAGTGCCTTTGTTCCCAGTGGTCACCAAAAAGCTTGAGGAGAACAGGTTGAGGTGTTAGGATTTATGATTGTGAGGAGAGGAAGCTGTGGCTGGCTAGCTCTGATACTTTAACCCCAGCAGCCTACTCTCCTTCCAGTGCACAATCATCTTGCAGCAGGATTGAACCCTTTGCTTGGAGTCGGCATTCCTACATCTCTCAGCCTTAATGCTGTCTGCACGGCATCTACCAAAAGTTATTGTGCACCAGGCTGAGACAACCTCAACTGAATATCCGAGCTGAATGGGAAGATGTTGAACTTTGATCATACAAGCATCAGCTGTCTGATATCTCTGATATCAGCAATATCAGCAGTGTTGTATATCTTGTATGTTCAAAGCATCTGAACTTCTAATTAGGTCTTTCCAAGTCACTTGGTACAAATATTTGCATAACACCATGGCATTGGATTGCCACATCCTATATTCCCATCACAGAATGGGAAAAAAATCACTTAAAACCTTGTATATAACTCTGTAGAACCTTTTGGAGTATCTGTTTGTGTTGCTACATCTGCCATCTTGAGTTACTCCCTGCATATGAAGATGGATTCTTCTTATACAGTATTTCACAATCCTTCCATATTTCTGCCCAGGGCAATTTCAGGTTTTCATATGAACCAATCCATTCGTGTCCCAGTTTTCTTACCCAATCTTCACTCTCAGCCCTCAGGGAAATTAAATTTCACACACTTGGATCCAGTTAGGACACTGGCATTTTTTTTTTTTTTTATTGGTAAGGGTTTCTTTTGCATCAAGAGCACAGAATTACTTAGGAGATTGTCCTTGGCCTTTTTTGACAGTTTGCAAGAAAGACTTATCCTCCACAAGTTGTGTAGGTAGACTTCCAAGGATGTACTGTGAATCAGGCAGCACTGCTTGCCTGTATCACAGCTCTGGCAGTTTCTGCTATCAGTCCCCAGGTCCAAAACAAACTGACAAAATGGCCTTAGCTCAAACTCCTGCAAATTGCTGCACCATGCTGGAGACTCCTGTCTTGGTAGGAGACCTGCTGAGGTGAGGGTGGTCTGCACTTTGCATAGGCCTCCCTCTGTAACACCTCCATGAAAGCAGCCCTGTCACAACTTTCCTGCTCACCTTGGAAAGTACCTCCCAAACTGCTCTAAGTTGTGCTAAACTTGAAGAAATACAAAATTTTCTAACTAATGAGCATTTGGTTATTTGGGTTTTTAAAGGAAACATTGAGAGAGTGGGTGTTACTGCATCTTTATTTCCACTGTCCTTATTTGGATTTATCTTCCTGAGAGGTACAGATCTATCTGTATCTTTCTAGAATAGCAACATCAAGGGCAAGCTTTTGTGAAAGAGCAAGCCTCTGTGAAAGTTTTCAGTATTGCTGTAACCAG